CAGGTGGCGCGCGGCACCCACCCCCCCCCCCTGCCACAGGCTCCAGGACCCCCGGAGCCGGGCCCTGGGCCTTCCTGCTTTTGTGGAAGAGGAAACCTGGAATTGCTTAATATTGAATTGACATCTAGGAATGCAGCATCCCGGAGGAGTACAGAGTGATGGTTGCACTGTGCTGGATGTAAGATGATGACGCCTCTAGTTATCAGATGGTGTAATAGTCTGGAGGGACCTTTACAATTTTTCAGTCTAAAAAAAATACCTGTTTTCTTCTTTTTTTGTATCTAGTGAACTTAAAGTGTTAGTGAGATTAACTTCTGGTTTCTTCGCAGTTGGAAAGCACAGTCGTATGGCTTAGAGCTGCAGACTCCTGTTCAAATTCATCCGATTTGATGGTCTCTTTGATAAGTTTTGTAATTTTGGAGAGCGAGTGAAGCGTGGAAGTGTAACGCAAGTAATTGTGGCGTTTCTTCTGTTTGCTTGCATCCGCTTCTTTCCAGACAGCTGTGTTAGTATGCGGCTGGCACGGAGCCATCTTCTGAAACAACTTCTCTATTTTTAGACTATTGTAATGTGAGTGAAGATATCCTCTGCTAATATCATACTTTAAAGTGAGTCACAGAAAAGATCTTGGGCACCAAATGTCTGGCAGTAAAATGTCAAGGGAGGAGGGGGGGGGAATTAAAAAAATGTCCTGGGGGTGCTCAGAGGGCGATGGGTACAGGGGAGTCCCTCGCTGGAGAGGGGTCACGGCTCTGACCTGCTTGGGAGCATCTCCTAGCCCTGCGAATGGAGAGTCATCGAGAAAGCCCAAAGCTGGGAACCTCCGCAGGAGCATGTCTTCTCCTCGTTGGTCATCTCTGGAACATGTATTCGTGTAAGCAAACCTTAGGATTTTTAATACAATCCTATGATAGCAGTGAGGTGGTCACTCTGCAGTTGAGTTGCTGATACCAGAGGGGATTTACCAGGGTCCACGTTATCTAGATGTTGGCTACGCGATCTGTGAAGGCAAGGTTAACCTGGAGCTGTACGGAGGTGCTCTGACATGGTCCTTGTGAGATGAAGCTTCCTGGCGTGGGTAACTTCATCTCTTGGTACTGAAAAGGAACAGAAATTTCTACCTACTTATTTCTACCTTTTGTTGTTGGGAAATTCTGGAGACTCTTAACATGTGTGGAGGAACTGGATAATTGCTTTCCTCAAACACATTAGCATCTGGGAAGATGAGCACAGATTTGCAGTAGCTTTTTCTCTTCCTTCCTTGCATGTATTCTTCTGCTGCTGTGGCTCAGTCTTGAATAAGTACAAGACTCTGCTCGCTCTCAGCACTTCCAGAAGTAAAAACTGGCTTGTCAGTCTCTTGCCTCCTGCTCGCTCTGCCCATCCACTGTTTTGATGATAAATAACTCAGTTTTCAACCCCCTTTCTTTTATCTTGAAGCCAAGCATGATGGAACATCCACTGCTGCTTCTCTCCCTCTTGTCCCGTGCACATACGCCTTAACACTCCTGAAGCGCCCTGAATGCTAATGCTGTGCACGAAAAGGGCACGCACCCCCTAAATTGTCTAGTCACCGTCTGACGTTTTGGTATTAACATGAATCTTCCGAAAATTCAGTTCTCTGCCAAACAGTGTGTCACTGTCCTTATTCGTTCCTTTTGGATGATGGGGACTGCTGATGGAAGGCTGAGAGTGGACCGGCGTAGGACTGTCAGCCTGCTGTGCCGAAAGACATGTATGTGTGCGCGCGTGTATGTATGTGTACATATATATGTATTTTACGTTGACAGTCTTGTACAAAACCCTTTTCTAATGGGAGATGGTACCCCAGTGCGGAGACTGATGGAAATTCAGGGGGAGATTCTAATCTGTTGGTCTGGAGAGGCACGCACTAGCATATCTTCTGCCTTCTGGTTTTCATACTCGATGGCAGCAGCGACATTTGGATTGCAAAGATGAAATAATGAAAGCTGTTTTTGTTGGATTTAATCCCAAGCATTCCAGCTGGTTTTATGGCTTTTGAAATGAAGTTTGTAGTTCTTTTTAGCTGAGCCAAGTTTAACCTTATGTTCCCATTTATCTGTTTTGCTGGTCTTCTAAATAGCGGATCTGAGATGGCAAATTCATGTTTCATGGAAACCTAACTAATGGCTGCTGTGGAAAGGAACTTGGTATCAATCTGCATGGTATAGATCCCATGTATTTAAAGAAAAAAAAAAAAAGAATGCTCAGAAAAATCTTGATGCATTTGCATTAGGGGCATAACAGAGCCACCCCCAAACACTGTATAAATAGCAAGTCTAAACCGCAGATACCATCCACGCCCCTTCCCATCATTTTGGTTGAGTATGCCACCACGTATTACCAGCAAAAATATGACTGAAAAAGATGACAAAGGTATGGGACACGCAGTGCTTGAAAGACTCATGCTTACTTGTTAGATGTGAAACAGCCTCCCTTCAGAATTATGAAGACCAGATTTTTTTCGGAGCTGAACTTCAAAGCCCGTCAAGTATTGATGCGACTTTGCAGCCTGTTCTCCTGTGCGGGCTGCTGCTGAGAGAGCAGGCAGCCCTGTTTTCATACGGATGGTTCCTGGTGAAAAGCTATGGGCGTTGGCATCGCGTACGCCTTCCGCATCCTTACGGGGCAGAGCACAAGCGGCGTCTGCCTGTGCAGTGACGCAGCCCTGATGGAATGTGTGAGTGTGTCTGCTTAGATCTGCCGAGGCATTTCTGACCTCCTGAGCTCAGGAGCGTGCCACAGCGCGCTTCCAGGGAGCTTGCAAGCCTGAGCTCATTGCAGTGAGAGCACGGTACTTCAACACCAACACAACAAGTGGTTCTGTAGCCGTCTTCCAACGCTTCTCCACGGCGAATGGTTCTGTAGCCGTCGTCCAGCACTTCTCCACGGCGGATGGTTCTGTAGCCGTCTTCCAACACTTTTCCAAGCTCTCAGAGTTTGGTGATCTATGAAAAGAGGCTAGGTTGTAGCATGCACATGCTCGTTTCAGAATGTGTCCCTCTTGGGGATCTGTGCCTGGTAAATAGGAGGATTTTACATCTGGTAGAGCGGGTACAGACTTGCCTTGGGTTTTTAAAGCATGTTTATGTGTTGCTGCTTGGCAGACTTCAACTGTAACTCTTGATTCCATGAACTGGCTCAGTTATGGCACCTGAATAAGTTTGTTCCAGCCCCATTTTCTTCTTGCAGCAATAACCTCTTGGCAGCATCCTAGCAAGAGCATATTCAAAAGTAGCTATACCCCATACTCTTACCCTGAACATGTCCAGGAGAGGACAAGCTGTTTCCGTGCAAATTTGATGTGGTGACCTTACCTCAGGATAGAAACTTTGTGTGTGTTTACTGACGAGCAAGTTGGTGCATCTGTAAAGGCAGAAACAAGTCAGTGCAAGGGAGAGCTTCGAAAGTCTTCTGTAGAGTGACTGAAGATAAATAACACATGTAGAAAAACATCGACTCCATCGTGTGTGGTCGTTTCTGAGTTTGTTTTCCAGCAAGGCCAGCATAGCTGAACTTCAGTGTTTTAGTTTTCTTTTTAAAAGAACTTCGAGTAGTGTTTTCTTGTTACTCTGGGTACACTGGCTTATCTTTTAAGAGCAGAGGATCCTAGCTGTGGGCAATTTTGAAGCAATTTGTACTTTTGGTCATGCATTTTGACTTTTCCCAGCAGTGCGTTTCCCTGCTTCCTCCCTTCCCATCCCACCCAAAGACCTCTGGGACCCTTTTTGTTTCTTTCATGTAAGGTCTCTCTGGTAGAATGCATCTTTGTTAAAGGCTGTATTCTAGACTTTTTTATTGAAGTTGTTGGGATTCAATGTTTATGGACAGTGAACCTACAGCCAGAAGAAACCTAAGGTTATGTTGATAGATGACTTCTGCTATTGTGCCTAAACGAACAAAATGCACCATTAGTTACATGGTTTCTCCTTTACAGAGTTTATCTAACCATATGTAGTTGTATACTTCATCCTGGTTTTCTGTAACTAAACAGTATTTCAATGGTGATTTAAAGCAAATCCTATGATGCAATATAGTTGTTTCCTGAAGCGGAAGGACCTATTGCACACCCTTGCATTACCTGCAGAAGGTCTGCCTAGAAGCCTGTCTTACTGTCTGTCTGCCAACCCGTGGTGGAGAGGCTGCTGGATTGCTTCTTGGCTTACTGTCTGTCTCTGCAGCTGTCTAGGTTCCGGTGTTATATAAATTACTGTTTCTGATGCTATATGAATAAATAACGCTCTTCACCCACAACTGTAATATAAGCTGTTAAGTCATATGTTGCAAAGATATCAGACCTTCATGACCAGTAAAAATTCTTCTCTACTAGAGAGGAGATAAATGTTTTGGAAAAAGGTATTTTTATCTGTGTTTGGAATACAAAAATTTCTGTGTCCCTCCGTAGCTGTGTGCCTCTCAGAGGTCCTTTCAGTGTCTAGAGGCTCTCCCGCCCTTCTGATGTTCTGTACCATTCTTCTCTAACAAGCCTGATGTCTCCTTACTCTTGCAGAAGAAAACGCAGAAATTACCCTGGATGTGTCATTAGCGTATCGCGATGACATGTTTGATGATTGGGAAGAAATAGCACACGCAATAGAGATCAGGAAGCTGAAATGCACCTTTGGCTCACCAAAAGTAAGGGGTTTTGACGATGCAGGAGGTGGGGAGGTGTGGGAGTGTGGTGCGAGTTGTCCTCTTCCTTTCCTTCATAGTGCTTCCTAGGAGCTCTGAGTTGTTCAATCATAACTTTCAAACGTGTCAGCTTTCTCTTGGCTCAGAATCCTTGAAAACCTGATGAGCTCCACATGCAGTGGGTTCTATTTGGTGATACAAGAGAAGGGCATGAAGTCAGAGGGTAGACTTAAAACTGCAGGGAAGAAAAGATGTGAGGTGTTGCAGAGGTGTTGTCTGGAACTCAATTGCTTTGAGAGTTATATACCCCAAACTCTCCTAGAGAACTTGGACCTTTCCATCTTGTCCTGCTTCGATGGATAAAACCTTGTTCTTCAGGAGTGGCAAGGAAATAACCTCCCAGGGACACTGCAGCACTCAAAGAACCTGGAGAGGTGGGGTGAGAGTTTCTTAAAATAATTTCTTAAGCTTTGTAGCTTGAGGCATTAGGAGCGGAGACCACAGCTAACAGTTGAGAACAGAGAGAACAGAGCATCTTGTTTAAAGACAGATGTTTCTTTTCGTGCTGCAGGCTGTAATTCCTGTGCTTAAATTAATCTGGTATCTCTTTACCATGCCATGTTTTTCAGCTCTGTCTTGTTCTCCCATTTCACAGTCCCTTTCAGCGACCCACTTATGTCTCCAGTAACACCTGTATGCTTCCATTCAGCCACGTATACGCAGTAAATACATACGAGGTGCAGAGGAAAGTATTGCTAGTGAAACAGGACTTAAGAAACTCCACATCAAGACATGTGTTAGGGGGTTGCATTTTTTATTTTGGCTCACATTATGCTTGCTGAGGGAGGAAAGTTTGATCCCGAAGTAGCCTTTCATCTTGGAAGGCTCCCTTGACTTTAAGAGTATTCAAGAGCCTGAAACGTGAACCTGCTTGAGGTCAAATGTGATTGACTCAATGACCCAATACAATCAAAAACTTGAGGAAAAATGTCCCCAAGTCACTGACGTGCACAGGCTCTCCCCAGGTGAAGGTCGGAATTAGCCAACAGGCTCTCGGTGCTAGCAGTGGTCCCAGGGTTAAGGCTTTTGCAGACCCGTGGAGGTTGTGCTGGTCCATCCAAGGCTGACCGCCGTGTTGCTGCTCTGTGCCCTTTCACTAGACCCTGGAGTCTGAAGGCCGTCACTACGACTGTGACTTCCTTCCCTTCATGGAGATCGGCAGCGTGGCTCACAAGTACTACCTCATCAATATCCGTCTCCCTGTGAACGAGAGGAAAGGCATTAATGTGGGCATTGGAGAAATCAAGGATATCCGCCTCGTGGTAAGTGTCTGTCTTGCTTCTTGAGACATGCTTCTTGTGCATGCAAGACATGCTTCTTGTCTTGCTTCTGCCTGGGGACTGCTGCAGTTCCTTTCTTCATCTCCTCTTTGATCCACAGCAAGGTCCTGCTCTTCATCATGGGCAGCTCCTGCCTGAAAATGTGATTTTCCTCCTTCCTGAGGGATGCCCTCTTTGAGGGAGGAGCCCTCCCCAAGCCTTGGGCAGTGCCACCCTCCTGCACTGCCCTGCGTCCACCTCCAGAGCTGGGCTCTTCCCACGGCCTCGAGAGCTGCCCTGTGCCTTCTCCTCTCCACCACAGTCTGGCTGGGTGCAGAGTCCTCCACCTGATTAAGCCCTGCTTCTTGTGGGTAGCAGCTAAGGAGGAGCAGAACAGCAGGGTTCAGAGGGAACCTCTGTCTGTCTTGGAGTTGGCCATCACCATGCAGATGTTTGGGATGGCTCTCGGCTATCCCTGCTCCTGCCCTCCTGTGAGGCTTGGTGGCCATGGGTGCTCCCAGCTGGAAAACCTCCTACCACCATCCCTCTCAGCAGAAGCAGCGAGCCAGCCGGCTGTGGTGGCTGCAGACATCAGTGGGACAGCATGTGTCTGGAGAAATGCATTCATTTGGCTGACGCGTTTCCCACCAGTGGTGATTTCGCTTCACGAGTATCTTCTTACTTTCTGAAAGCAATTCTGCCAGTTTTTTCCCCGCTGTGTCAGAGTGCCCCTCTCTCAACTGCTCTCCACCTCGCAGTGGAAGCTGCGTGCGTTGACATTTCTTTTCAGGACTTTTGAAGCATCCTCAAGTGGCCTGCATGCTAAGTAGGCACCTGCTCCCTTTCCTGAGTTAGGCAAACTTCATCTTTCAAAGAATAGTTGCATCTACGTGTGCTTACACATACTGCCGTGTACTTGCGTCTCCTCTCAGCTCCTGTGAGGAGAAGCACGGAGTGATGTTGAACCCTGTACAGCTGTTGCATTTTGCCTTGGTTTTCCTTAGGGCATCCATCAAAATGGAGGCTTTACAAAAGTGTGGTTTGCCATGAAGACCTTCCTCACCCCCAGCATTTTAATTATCATGGTCTGGTACTGGAGACGGATCACGCTGATGACACGCGCTCCTGTCCTGCTGGAGAAGTGAGTAGGCCCTTGCTCGCTGGCTAAGGTGACCCTCAAGCAAGAGGACCCAGACTGAGGTGGTCGCTGCTCCCTGGCAGAGCCCATGTTTGGGGAGATGGGAACGGTCTCTTCTCTGTGCCCTCCCTCCACCCAGGCATGCTGGGAGCATGAGACCTCCATAGCTTCTCTTTTCTTTCTCATTAAACCCACAGAGGAGGAGTAGCTGCATCTGCCCGTGGCTGCTCAGAGGGGCTTAGCCCCAGAGGGTTTGCTGGCAGGTGACACCCCACCGCTACTGCCCAAACAGTGCCAGACTTCCTTCTGGTTCTCTTCATGCACAGCTTTGGCTTCTGGAGCTCTGTGTCCTTGCCTTGCAAACTGGAAAGAGGTGGTGTTTCTGCCTCCCCAGGGTCATCTTTGCTCTGGGAATTTCCATGACGTTCATTAACATCCCCGTGGAGTGGTTTTCCATTGGATTCGACTGGACCTGGATGTTGCTCTTTGGAGACATTCGACAAGGCATCTTCTATGCCATGCTCCTGTCGTTTTGGATCATTTTCTGCGGAGAGCACATGATGGTGGGTACAACACAGAAGGGAAGGTGGTTTCCAGCCCCACTTGCAGCGATACCTGGCAACTCCCTTGTACTTACTGAGTGTTGGAAACAGTGCTGTGGGGACTTGCTCCAGGTGAGAGGACTTCAGGCTAACTTGCTTTTCCTTTTTCTCCTCCAATTAGGACCAGAATGAGCGGAATCGTCTCTCGGGGTACTGGAAGCAGGTTGGACCCATAGCTGTTGGCTCCTTCTGCCTCTTCATCTTCGACATGTGCGAGAGGTAGGTGCAGCGCTGCGCTCCAGCCCGCGCGTGCCGCTCCCTGGGGCGAGCCTTCCCCACGCAGCAAGCGGAGGCTCCCGGCCACCTCCTGCAGCAGGGACCAGCAGTTTAACCCCCATGGCTTGATGCACAGCCCCATCTCGTGAAGCGAGGAGAGGCGCTGGTGAGAGCACTGAAGCGTGCTGATGTTTCCCAGCAGCGTATCTTGTCCCACAGGGCTGTAAAGAAACACCACCCACCTGGTCTCCTCCTCGGCCCCACAGGAAAGCAGCATGGCTGGTTCTTCCCAGGCTGCAGAGCAGACTTGGGGCTCTCTGAGCCCCTTGGCTTCTGTGGCAGCTCGGTGTTTTCTTTCCTCTTTGCAGGGGAGTGCAGCTGAAGAACCCCTTCTACAGCATCTGGACCACCGAAGTTGGCACGGAGCTGGCTGTATCCTCCCACCTGGCTCGGGCCAGGCTTGGTCTGCGTCGGTAGGAGAGGGAGGTGTCCCTGTCCTGCCAGATGCCTGCGGGGTGTGGGGAAACCCTCCTCCTTCTGGCGGACTGGGGCTGTGAGGCGGGGCTCGGCCGCTGCGGGAGATGCCAGTGTCGTTTGGAAGAAGCAGTCCTGGCAGGTTTGGTGCTGGGTGCCGCCAGGGAATCCCTGGAGCACTGGACTTCTCCTCAGGATGTCTGTGATTTGGGGGGAAAGCACAGGGGATTAGGTCCTGGGCGTCATCACGGTAATCCCTGAGCCCGTGCTGCTCCAGCAGCGCCCACTCTGCTTTCCCCACGGCCTCAGCTGTGATGGCAGCCGCGCCGGGGCCCTCCATCTTGCTGAGGCATTTCCATGAATTGCTCTTTCAGGCTGCCCCCATCCCGCTGGAAGGGCTTGCTTTCACTGCCATTAATTCTGATTACTGGGCTGAGATAAGCTAATGCAATTAGTCCCCCTTTCCATGGCATCCAGCCCTCTTCCAGCAGCCTCTCCAAAGGTCGTTGATTGGCGACAGCTTCCCAAATCTCCTCCGCAGACCTCGAGCGGGCAGGCGTTTCGGTGGGTTATCCCAGCTCGGAGCCCACACTCCCCACTCGCTGGGGGGCTCCCCCAGCGCTGCCCCGCTCGCGGGCAGGCTGGCGTCCTGAGCGATTGCTGCCCACTAGGAGTTTAATGATGATCTTTAGGATGATACTAAAATAAGTGAATTGCCTGAATAATGTTTGCTATTATTTCTGTTTAGCTCGTAGCATTTTCTCTTAACCTACGCTGCCCAGATGGCCTTTATTATAGTTGCGGGAATCTGCTTGTGTCTCTATTTTCTCTTCCTGTGTTTTATGGTCTTCCAAGTTTTCAGAAACATCAGTGGAAAGCAGTCAAGCCTCCCAGCCATGAGCAAGGCTCGCCGCCTTCATTATGAGGTAACATCCTTCCTTGCTGCACAGATTCTTTATTTTTAAAATGCATTTTTGATCTTAAAGTCTATACTGAGACCTTCTCTAGCCATATAGTCCTGAATTGAAAGATCTGATCTTTATTGGCTTTTTTGTGTTGCTCAAATCCCCTGAATGCTTTTTTTGTTTGACTGTCATGAGGTTTCTTCTCTCTTTGGGTCTTTAGTCCCTGTGAAGTGTTTTAAGCTGTCAGGAGGGTATGTAAGCTACCTCTCCTTTCTTATGAGTAGTTGCTATCTCCCAGCTTACTGACCGGTGTTGGAGGTTAGAAGGAAATTGGCCAAATGACCATTTAAATTACTAAGGGATGTAAAACCATCGGCTCCCCGTATCTCTGTTTCTCCTTCTGTAATATTAATGATTGTGTTTAGTGGAAAATGTGACTAAGAGCACCCTGTTTTTTCATGGCATGCATTCAGACTCAGGGGATTGTCTTTTCCTAACCAAGTTGCCAGAGGGAAACTGTCCCGCTAGGATCAAAATGTGACATGTTCAGCCCATTATCCCCATTTTTAGCCCATGATTTTGTATGTTGTTTCTGTCCTAGCGGTCTTCAACTGCTGCAAAACATGAGGAGCTCACTTAAGTGTTTTTTCTCTGTGTGTGTAAATATTTATTGCTAATGTTGTTCCCTTAAAGGATGGTCATTTCTGATTTAAACAAGTCCATTATCACACATCAGGAATGCACATAAAAAAAGTAGAAAATTGGACTTGAGAGAATGTGATCAAGATATTGAGCATTTTTTTCCATCTTTCCTTTTAGCAAGAGGCTCTGCATACAAACATCTGGCAAGCATGAATCTGGTCTGGAAGAGTTAAATTAATAGTCATTTGTTGTCGCAGTGTGGCATGGTAATTACGCACACACTGACATTTCCACCAAAATTCCAGAAACAGGTTAAAAAAAACAACACACACACACACACACACACACACACACACACACACACACAAACAAAACCAGAAGAATTTGTAAGTAAAAATGTAAAACTAGTGAAAGCAAGTACAGTATGTGGATTCCCAACGAAGTGATCATGGGCCATAGTTTGTCTTATAATCTACAGTATTCTGTAATAGCCAACGTAGTTTTGACAAGTGTTGGGAATCGCTGCAGTTTCCAGCCAGACTGTGGAGGTGAGGGTTAGCTTGCTACCCGTACGCGCGCTGTAGAAACGCCGACTCGTCTTGCTAAGCTGTGCAAGCTCTCCGCAGATGTTTGTTTTACAAAAGCGATGAGCTGTGAGGCTGGCCCCTGGTGAAACCCATGGCTTACGCCGACCTGCCTCCTCTTCCACGCTAACTCTTGGTACATCAGTCACAAAAGCAAATGTAATGGAAAGCAAGAGCTGTCCAGACATGCACACCCTGCTCGGAGCATCCGAGAGGAATGCAGACGTGTGGGGAGCGGAGAATATAGGCTGTCGTGAACACGGCGCAGAGGAGTGGGTGGAGGTTGTTTTGCTTTGGGGTTTCGTGGGTTGGACCCTTTTTTTTCCTTTGCCTTTTTTTTTTTTTTCATACTTGTGTCTTGTATATGCTAAAAACAAAAATGGGTTTTGTGGATTTTGTTAATGTGACCAGTGACATTTCTCTCTAAGTAGGGGCTGATTTTTAGGTTCAAGTTCCTGATGCTCATTACCCTGGCTTGTGCAGCGATGACGGTCATCTTCTTCATCGTGAGCCAGGTGAGTGACGAAACTCTGCTCCGTCTGAGAACATCAGCCTCCGATCCCTAGCTGCTAAAGACGTCGGCTCACTTGCTGTTCTGACAAGGCATGCCTGTTATAAGCAGATTTAATAAGAAGTTGCTTTTTAAGAAGTTGTTTTCATTTATTTGAAGCACTGCCATGAAATTGCTTAGGCTGAAGCCTTCACAAAGGCCTTTGGCTCATGGTAAGGTTTGGGGCTCTGCTGTTTGAAATATCAGCTAACATGGTTTAGTCACTTCTGAGAAGTCAGCAAGAGGAAAATCTTCTGTTCACGTTGAAAAAAATCCAGCGGCTTTGTATGCCCACAGAGAAATAACAGAATTCGATCTTCCCTGGGTTGACTTTGCAACCATGCTGTTTCCAACAGTATCTGTACCTGTTTATTCTGAGCTCCGATGTGGTCCCTGTATAAATGAGCTTTTATTGATACTTAAATGTACCTTGATAGTTCACTCCAAGTGACTTTTAAGATTGCATTTGTTTCAAAGATGTCATTTCTGGTTGTTCCTAAGCGTAGGCAGCTCGTAGCTTCAGGAGAGCCATGGGTACAGCCTCGCAAGTCCAATGTTGCAGAATTACTGGTGCAGGAGCAGTTTCTCCCTCACTGCACCACTTAACGCTTTGGAGTACGTGGTGGGTCCCAATGCAAAATGCAGCAGCAGATGCTTTTGCTCTTAAAAATCTGTTGGACTGAAGCAATGGTTTGAGAACTGCCACTTGGCAATTTGATTCATCACTGAGTGCCGATGACCATAACCGTCACTGCGCGTGGGCAGAACGCAAACAATCTTGTCCAGCTACGCTTTTCAAGCTAGTTTAGCTTTCGTCTTCTCCCCTTAATGGGTTTTTCTTTAATGGGAAGCCAGCATTTCAGTGTGAACAGTCTGCCTTATCTTCAAGTAATAATAATATTGATGATCTTGTCATAAATAAGACAGAAGCAGCAAGGCAGCCTTCAGCACATTAGCTCTTCGCATTATTCATGCTGTTTTTCCTTCTATAGAAATTCTATTTATAGAAGTCTAATGTTCTCAGATGTAACTAGTTGTCTCCTAGGTACTGGCCTTTATGTGGTGATCTTTGCTGAACACATCAGTTATGGCAGGGGTATATTGCAGAACATGAGAGATTTTGGCACATTTACGAACAATAAATCAAAGTTAAAGAAATCCTGATGCAATAATTTTGTAAGGACCACTTTTTTCCTGCAGATTAAGGCTAAAGAGGAGAATCCTAGCCTGACTTGCATCACTGAATCTGCTTTCTCCATTTACTCGATCCTGTTGAATTGATGCTGTTCTTGTTGATTTACCCTAAGTTAGTGCTTTAGACGGTCACTTCCGTATTTTTACAGAATTTGGTCTTACTGACCAGCCCGTGCGTGTCTGTTTTCTCCCGGGCAGGTGACCGAAGGCCACTGGAAGTGGGGGGACATAACGATACAAGCGAACAGCGCCTTTTTCACCGGCATCTATGGGATGTGGAACCTCTACGTCTTCGCCCTGATGTTCCTGTACGCACCGTCACACAAGAATTATGGTGAAGACCAGTCGAACGGTAAATGCCTTTAAATGATCTGAAGGCTGTCATGGGAAGAAAGGGATAGAAAGAGGGTGATACTTCTTGTGCATTTTTTTTTTTTTAACCAAAGTGCACATTCAGCACATTGAAATGTTATGCAAATGATGGTTTGTTTTTCCTAGCAGACATTTTAACTAATGACGAGGTTAGACAGGTTTGAGTATTTAGCCAAGGCTGTCTTAAACCTTCTAGATGTTTTTTGAACTTTTTAGCATCGCCCAGTTGTAACTGAGTAGCTCAAATGGAGGGATGGGGAAAGGCGAAAATAGAAACCTGTGCAAGTGGAAAATGGCAATGCAGTTGGATTCCTTTATCAGTAGTCTTCAGTAGCACAGAAATCATCCTTTGCTGATATGCTTGTATTTAAGTAACTGTAAATAAAAGCATTTATAGAAAAGTTGCATAGTTCAGAGCTCAGGTAGCTCCTGAAAGCCTGGAGGGAATAAAACGAACCTTTTGCTTTCTAATTGTCAAATATTTTATTGTGAGACCTGGCTAACAGAAGAATGTCCTTTCTCAGGTGACCTGGGAGTGAACAGTGGGGAAGAGCTTCAGCTCACCACCACCATCACCCATGTGGATGGGCCGACGGAGGTTTATAAGCTGGCTCGCAAGGAGGCTCAGGAGTAACGCTGAGATGGCCTCAGCAGGGACGCAGACCGGGGTGGAGAGCAGAGGACAGCACAACGCCCTCCGAGAGGAGACCTCCCTGACCTAACTTGCTTCTCGAGCACCTCGTACCTAGAGTATTTTCACAGAGCAGTGACACCGAGCAGAACATTTGTAAACTCTTTAATATGGTGTAGTTATTTCTGGGGGGAGGGATATGTATATTGTGTTACACTCAAGCACGTAAAAACCTGCTAGAAAAGCATTAAGGCTGCAAAGTCGCACACTCAGAGGTTAGGAAGGGGCAGAGCTGACATCGGGCAGTTTTTATTCGGCTACCGTGTGCCTGTGCATAAAGGTGGAGCAGGGACCTCAATCGGTGAGCACGTATGCATTGCGTCGAGTTCTTCTCTTCTTGCATGCAACTTTAAACAAGGTCTTGGTCATTTTAAAAACGTTTAATTCCACAGTCTGTAATTGTGTGGAACCTTGTTTGAGGTCTTTAGCACAGCCCTGCAGTGCCGCAGCAAGCCTGTGGCTTGAATGAAGGATGGGGAAAGGAGGAGACTCTTTGTAATATGTAAGATCTTAGCAGAAGTAGCAACACGCTTTCTCGGTGAGCGTTAGAGCTGTTTGTCAAATACAGGGGAACGTCAAAGCTGTGTGCCTGCGCTGAGCTGCGGGAGAAAGGAGCACTCCTGGTCCGAGTTCCCAGAGGTAACGGTCCAGCAGCCGGCTCCTGCCTGTTCGCAGCCCCTTTGGCTTCCCTTGCTTTTGTTGTCCTCCTCCATCTTGCCTTTTGTTACGGCTCATTCATTTTTATGCTGCTTACGTGCCATGGGGAGAAGAGAAGGGCCACGGGAGGGACAGTGTTCTCTGTCCCCGTGCCTGTGAGCTGGGCAGTCCCGCTCCTCTTTGCGCTGCCGGGATGGAGCACGCTTGGCAGAGCTGGATTCTTCCAGGGATTATAGGACTTGGAAAAAAATCCGCTTTTCACGCACTAATGTGGATATTTGCTTTTCAGAGCAAAAGCAGACGATGAGGTCGCTCACCCTTGTGCTGTGCCTGGGCGGATCTGGCTGTGAGGCTGTTGGCAGTGCAAGGGGAATGGGAACCAGTATGGGATGGAGGCATAAACTGGACTGTGCTGGGGACCAGTTAAGAGAAGTGTTAATGGCGTGTGCTGGAAAAAGAGCAGCCAGAAAGGTCTTTGCTGCTCAGGGCACACCTTTCAGGGCCTGGAAGAGAACCTGAGGATGCAGAGGTCTTCATCACCTGGCACTAGTAAATGCCTGTGTTAACTGCTAGTAACATGTAACTCAACCTCCCAGTTTTGTCCCTAAAAGATAAGAATCTGCTACTGCTGTCCATCACTGAAGGGCCAGGGAGAGCGGGGGGGAAGCTTCCAAAGCTGATGACAGGCAGTCAGCGTGGGTACCGGTAGCAACACTGTCCTGGAAAAGGCGACACGTTGTCCTTGGATTCTTAAAACTTCTGAAATTACACATCGATTGTTCGAGTATCAGTGCTGTAAAAACAGAAGTATAATTAGGAGATGTCAGAAGTGAGATCACCTGTGAAACCTTAATCCATCTGTAGCCAAGGTGTGCGTTACCACGTGCAGTTGAAGCCTATTGCATGCTGGCTTGACTGTCACGCGCTGGTGTGTACGTCAGTTGGGGGCTGTGAGCAGGATGCCCGTCCCTGGCTGCCCCGTGCCACCCCCGTGCGCCCACCCCACCGTTTGCGTGGGGCAGCAGCTCCGGGGAGGCGGCTCAGTTCGGCTCTAACCATCCCCGTCACCGCTTCAAGCACGGCAAGTAACCAAATACAGCCCCAACTTTCCCTGCCTTTTCCTTTCCCTTCCCTGTGTTTCTTGAGGCAAGTCAATACTTCAGCTGGGGTGAGGCGTTCAGATAATTCCTCCTTATTTCCCCAATCCGCCGGGGAATGGGGCCAGAAGGCTGGCGACTGCCCTGGACCGCGTGCGGGGCTGGCCAGGCGCCCCGTCCCTCCCCTCGCTGGCCTTTCCCCAGAAGGGATTTCTCACGGGGACCTGCTGACCGTGCCAGACAAATCGCACCAGGAGGTGCTGGGCTGTGAGAACGGCACTTGCAGCATTTAAAACACCATTTACTAGAGCTTAAGGCTGTAAAGAGAGGATAGCGTAGGTAATCTCACGTCCCCCCGGCTGGTGGGAGCCCCGAGTTGTGCTCCATCGAACGGGTCTCCCATCAGGGTGCAGCACAGCGGGCGGACCCCATCTGCGGAAGGGTTACCCTGTTTGTATTAATTCAAGCTATTACAGTGGGTTTTTTTAAAGAAAGCAATTCTGTTCATCGTTCTGTTCGCCCCCACCGGGATCCCCGGCGGCATCTCGGCTGAGGAACGCTGGATGCATCGCTCCGGGTGAAGTCCCTCGCGTACCGCTCGCTCTGAGCGCGTGAAGTCACTGTAGCACAGGAAGAGCGCTGAACGCTACTCAAGGAAGTAGCTTTGGGTGATCTTGGATACTTGAAATGGAACACTAATAATTTTTTGTAAGTTTGGGGGTTTTTTTGTAAAGCGGGGTGACAGTGCCCCTGGACTGAAAGGAAATGTAGTTTAAAAGGAGAAAAAGGCCAAGGAGGGGGCACGCCGGCTGTAGGTGCTGGGACCACACCTTCAACACGGATGGCAAAAAGTAACTTGTAAGCAATTTACACAAGGAATTTACATAAGGAAAACAAGTCCTAGTAGGTACAAGCAATGTTCCTGCTTGCAGTAGTTGTTCAATTACAAAGTGAATTAAATTAACGCACATCGTTGTCACTCTGGCATGTTCCTGGCCGAATGCTCGACTTTGCAACTTTAACGTCCTTTTTACTTTGGGTTCTTACGTGATATTTATGTTGTTCTGATAGATGTGTCCGTGGTTTCTTTTACAGCTTAGGTATAGCACTGCATTTTGTAAAGGCTCCTTACAAATGGGGAATCGCAGCTTTAAAAACCAAACTGTGTGTCAAACACTAACGATCTGTTTATGGGGCGCGTGTATGCGTGCGTGCGTGTGTGGGTTTTTTATTTCTTACTCCCTGAGCCCTACTCATAAGTCTCAGAAATAGTCCCTGGGTCTTATTAAAATATATCTTTTTGTTTGTTTGTTTAGATTGAGTGCAGTTTTTACGGAATGCTTTAAGCAACCTGGAAAACACGTAGTTTTGTTAATTTAAATAAAATACACAATATTGTGGATTTGTGGTCGGCCTACTTCACTGACTGAGAAATCACAGCTCTTCTGCTGTGATCTAGTTTGCTTTTATTCGGTCGGTTACTTCAGGCAGTTGCCAGTCGCCCAACTTGTTGCTGGGCAAAACAGTTGACTCACTGGGACGATCTTCTCCCGCATCTCTCTCCAAAGGCTTTGCGGTGCAGGAACACGGTGCTTCGACGCTCGTGGCTTTTTGACTTTAAAACCTTTGCTTTAGGACTGACTGTTAGCAGAGCCCTTTCTGCCTTGTCTCTGGAGCGTCGGTTACGGCTCCCCTCGCCCGCGGGACCGGGACCAGCAGTAGGGTGTGAGCCCCCCGTTCCCACGGCGGGGCACAACCGTTGAGTTTTCCTTCGGGCTCTGTCCCCTGGACCTGCCTGTCCCCTCTTGCCAGCCCCGGAGTCGTCACAGCCTTGCTGTGAGCTTTGCACGTTGGCTCTTACCCACCATGACGGCAAGACTTGGGCGTCCTCCTCCATCTGCTGCCGTATTCAAAGGCGCTGCTGCCCGCTG